GGTGTGATAGGCTCGTAACTTGGGTGTTGAATTTGCAATGAATTATTAGCATCATTACTAGTATTATTATTTGTATTTTTACTTAATGTAATATATTTACGGACTAAAACAAAATCAACGTCTTCCAAGCAGTATTCATTGAATAAGCTACATTAGTGTAGGTTAATAGGATTAATTACTGACTGTTAGTAGCTGTTAAGATTATTGATTGTAAATTATTCATTGAATTCCATGAATATGAAACATTAAGTTATCATTTATTTTTCATTAATTGAACGCCGGGCTATGACAATTCTACGCAGCATTGTTGTAATATTTGATATCCCTTCAACGAGAATGGACAGATTGAATAGAACACTTGGGTTTGTTCATGGAATGCCGTTCAATAAAAGTTGTGACGCGACAATAAACAATTAGGTATTAGGACGCACACTTGCGGTATAATTATTCCTCAATTTATTTTCGTCTGCGACTGTATCACGATCATGTATTTGAAATTAAAATGCGTACTCGATTAATGTATTCTTACGGAAAATTTGAAATTATCTTGTAAATGTATTTGTAATTGTGGGTCGTCGGAAATATTAAAATAATTGGTGTGTATTATCATTGTTTAATATCATGAAGTTGATTGTGAGGAGCATTGGATTGTGTGTAAATATAGCGATGATGATTGCAAATTAATGTCTTGAATTTTATTTCACTGACCTGTAATGAGTTTATTTTCTATTATCTTATTATTTTGCAGTTCAATTAGTTTTTTGGAAATTGAAATTTTTTAAAATGACAATTCATGAAATCATGACGAAAGGGAATTTATCAATGGGTGGTGATGGAGAACAGGACATTTTCTGAAATCTCAGTGAATAATTCGAGAGTCGTATATTTGAAATCCTTCGCAGGATGTAACATGGAATGGATAAATATCCTTTGATGGTATGTATGAGGAAAAATTTCTAGGAATCTGCTATATCGTCTTCCAGCAGAAGCCAGTGACCGTGCTGAGGAAAGGAAGGTATGTGAATAATAAAATTCGTATATAAAACGATGCATATTGAATTAAAATGTATTTTCCAATTATAAATATTATGGCAATTAAACATATTTTGATAATATTTCTCAATGTTAAGAGTTATATTTGAAGATCAATGAAGGGATAAAAGTTTGTGATAATGAATGAGGTATTTTCAATTTTTATTGACAATCTTGATTATTTACGATCTCATTTTTTATTTAAAAAAATAACTGAGAAAGGCAGAAAATTGGGCAATTATCGCCTGCTGTTTTGGGCCATTCTCACATTCTCATTTTCGCTTCATCTGTGACTGTCTACGAAAAAGATTACGCGGATGAAAGAATTTACTGGAAAAACCAAAATCTATTGACTTTACTCTATCAATTATGTCTTACCAAAATGGCATGACCTTAGTAATGTTGCAAAAAACAAATAGAATCCTGTTAAATCTTCACGAGAATTTTCATAAAATGACAATTTTATAATTTCTGTCCCCACCAAACTGTTGTAACATGTTTACCAACTCTGTAACATATTCAATGACTTTAATTCAGCGGCTGCAGATGACTCCTGTAACACCGAACCTCGTTAAAATGAATAATAAAAGTTGGTAGCACGGTAACACAATTTACCCTAGATCAAGGAGCCGTATTTCCCAAGCGATGTGAGTTCCATCAAAAACGACCGGTAATTCGATTTCTACAATTAAATTACCAGTTTCACCCCGATGTCAGCCCATCTCAGCACGAAATTGCAGGACATGTTGTTGGTCCACGGGCTTTGATATAAAAGCCCGCGATATTGCGAAGAACATCACAGTTGGTTCTTACACCTCAGAGAAGATCGTCTAGAAGTCGGCGCCTGACAAAGGTAAGAATATATCACTCGATTGAGGCGACAATAATACTTTTACATTTCGTTCACATCCTGCAATTGACGGTGAGTTATACTCTCGATTATTGCCGGAGCGGATGAAAGTAATAGTCCAATAGTTGTTGTAGACACATCCATTCGTCTTAAAATTGTGAAATGGTATAAAAGCTGACATTTTTTGGTGGACGATCGCATTGTTCAGCGAATCGTTCAGCAAAGACAGGGTTTGTTGTCGTCTTAACTTAAAGTGTAGATTCTATATCACAGTGATACCTTACAGAGAAAACTTGATTAGGAGATTAATCATAATAGCATTCTCTCACTTCTTTAGAAGCATCAGAATTTGGTCGTTGGTCAGGGCTCGTGAAAATAGAAGCTTTACAGCGGAATTCGCCTGATTAATATTTTTACTTCCTATTATTTTACAGAAATCAATCTTCAAACAATAAACACAATGATGTCTGCACGATTTGTCTCTGCCATCCTCCTCATTGTCATCATCGCCACCTTGAGTGTGGATGCTGCTTACAGAAAACCTCCCTTCAATGGAAGCATATTCGGCAAACGGTCCAGCACTGGAACTGGTAAGTAATGAATAATCATCTTTTTTAAGGGGATTAGACAGTTGATTCACATGCGAAAAGAAAGAAAGTTTAAATTAATTAAAGTCTTGATCATTCTTCTGGATAATTTTGCATCAGAAGTTGAGAAGAAGGAAAATGGGAAGCAATATCTTCATAAATTGGTCAAATTACTTGAAAATAGAACGGGATTAAGTCTACGAAAGCCAAGAGTTGGGGAATGGCTCCCTGAATATTGATCGTCGTTTATCTCACCTTCTGACTCTTCATCACAGATTACGAAGTGATCAATCGAGCCCTCAGCAACATGTGCGAAGTAGCCAGCGAAACCTGCAATGCTTGGCTGATGCATCAGGACTCCAACTAAAGATTACTTACCGACCGCTACGCTCTCATTCACCGATAATGCGACTATTATTTAAATGTTACTGTGTTACCGAATCTTGATAATAGTTTTATGGGATTCATTCGAATTCACCCTCTGAGACTTTGATAATTTTTCTACAACAGTTGTAATAATCCTAATCGCTGACATACGATCACTTTCGTGGAACAAGTATATTAACCGATGGAGCTGCGTAAAATATTATGTGTGTAGGTATTTTTGTTGGCTTTAGAGGTAGAATCGAAGATGCTGTGTAGAAATTGAATTTTAATAAAATATTGTCAACGAAGCTGACCTAATTCGTTAAATTACTTTGCTCACCTGATGTTCTTCCTCCTGCGTAGCTATTTTCGACCTGATTCTAGCTATTTGCTCTCATTTTTCTGCTGTATGGGTTGTCATTACTTTATTTCGTACAGCATAATATACAGTGAATAAAATTTCAATCAATTTATCAGTTAAATTCTTCATTATGGCGCTCACTCGTGTTAATATTAGAGAGAAAAATGTTTTGATTTACATTATCCGTAATTTTTTGAGTAATGTCACTGATTTTTAGGTATTCAAATAATATTTAACAATCTTTTGCCAAATTTCAGTGATAAAAATCACTGATAATCAGGGTCATTATCCTAATCAGTGACATGTATCCGACAATCAAAACTTCTCTTTCCTATGATGAGAACGTCATACTTCAGTGTTTCAAGTTCTTCATCCTTTTCCTTCATTCAAATTCAGAAAAAGAATAAATTATTTGCAAAATTTAGTCCCAAACCTAACGGGGGGTTGCTAACACAATGAATTTGAGGACTGAATTTTCTTAAACGCAACTGAATTTAGTCTGAAACCTCCATCATTTTCTACTTAAGTCCATGAATTTGAGAACTAGAATATGTGACAAGTGTACAACATTATTTTAACGCTTCCACGGATAATCTTCTAAATCATAAAAATCTTATTCCACAAAACCCACCCTCATACTGGAATCTGGTGAATCGATATGGTAAACACGTAGCTTGTCTACCGGCATAAGGATGTTGACCTGTATTCATCGAACTCGACGACTAGATGGATCTCACATGCATTTGACGAGAATGGGAACGAAAACCGTGTACCCGTACAATGGAACCTGGGGATTTTGGAACATCATTCACACTTTCCAGGTTGCGTTAAGGGCATGATGAAAATAATTAAGCAGCTTTGGGTTTGGTATAAGTACGGAGGGTAATCATGGGTGGGCATCAGTTGCAAGTGAACCGCAAACGCAAGGTAAATTACATATTCTTTTTTATTAAATTCCCTGTTGCGATGATAAATTCTTTTCTGCAAACTCTAATTCGAAAAAACCAACAACAAAATATTTTTAGTGTATAAATTTTCCTCATCTTTTTGAATTTCAATTTCTGCGGAATTTTTTTTAATTAATAATTTTAAGATTAATAATTAATAATTTTATGATTGTTTGAAGACTAGCAAACGAGCGTTTCGCGCCCGTCGCTAGATTAATTTATGTTACTTTATTTTATTTTATCCCCGTTTCCGAAAAAGCAATGAGACCACCACAAAACCAGAATTTTTAATTTTTCAATGTCTACGGAAAATTTTAAAATTAATATATTTTTTCGATTGGTGAACCACTCCGTAAATTCAATTTCTATCCTCACATGTTCATAGAATACATTAAAAATAGCAAAGAATTCAAACTGGCGATGAAAAATTTCATCCGATTATTATTATTATTATGTAATTAATAATCAGAATATTTAAAGATCACTAGCTTGCAATCCCACATCTTATTTTGAACTCATTGTAAGACGTTGTTTTTGTAATGTGCACCCCGCTACGACACGTGGCTAGATGTACCCTATGTTTCCAAACGAATGACCTTTTTCCACGATTTTTCCCCTCTATATCCCTGGAAATTCGTACGTGAAGAAACAAACAAATAAAACCGCTGACGAGTGCATCTCTGAGAGACACGAATGTATTTGTACAAATATACTGGCGATAGCTGTTGAACGGCGTGGGCTCTCGATAAACACTCTTCCTCTCAAGATGCGCCGTTTCCCCCAAAACGTGTAAAGTTGATCAGACGAATATACGGATTATGATATAAACGACAGTTCTCTGCGATCGCCCGATTCAATCGCATCGTTTGAAGTGTGAACTTAAATCACCCTCAGTTTCAATACCACACTCAAGTGCTCTAATAGTGATCGTGAATTCCTCGAAACCTCCGAGTTTCAATATTCAACGTGTAAATTAAATATTTAACTCCGTTCATTTTCAGAAAACATGAATCACAGTCAATCGACCATCAAAATGACATCTCACTTCATGTCCGCTCAGGTGATTCTCGGTGAGTGACGGCTCTTTCTATCCGCACGGAGAGAAATATTCAATAAAAATTACGTATCCGTAATTCCGGAGCGAAATATGGTTGTAGGAAATTTTACGGAACCGTCACGTCATTTTTCCAGAGCGTTTTCCAGAAAAAAATCAATAGAAAAATCTATCGAATTCGTTATAAAATTCTATTGACTTTCTAATAAACTTTCTATTAGTTTTTGGCTGATTCTATTGACACGTTCAATAGAAAAAATTCAATAGAAAAAGTTAACAGAATTCGATTTTTCTACATAACTTATTCTTTTCATATATTTTCTATAAAATTTGCTCGACTCAAATTTTCTAAATTTTTTTCGTTCTATTTTTCTTTTCTTCTCGTCAAGGAAATCAAACGAAAAAACTTGGAAAATTTGAGCCGAGGAAATTCCATAAAAAATATCTCAATAGAATAAGTTATATAGAAAAATGGAATTCTGTTGAGTTTTTCTACTGAATATTTTCTATTGAACGTTTCAATAGAATTTTCTAACGAATTCGATAGGTTTTTCTATTAAATTTTCTCGTCCGTGGTGTCATCAAAATAACGAGGTAATTTTCACTTTAATGTAATAGTTGAATTTACAATGTTTATTGTTACCGTAACTATTATTTTTTTGACAATTCCCTTGTAGTTGAAATTACCATTGACATTTCTCTGAGTGTGGATCGCCTATGGAAAATTACGATTCCGTCAATTAAATTTTCCGAATCGATTCCGTAATTTTTACTGAACATTTCTCTCCGTGCGAAGAATTCATTCGTTCATAAACAATTCGGGGTAAATAATGTGAAAGGTTCTTTCTCGTTGTCAGGTACCTGTCTGACGATAGCCGTACTCTCATGCGGGATGATCACTGTACAAGCTGATGATGAAGTACCGGCGTTCTTCCTCAAAATCGCGAAGAATGTACCCAGAATCGGACGCAGTGACAAGTATCACGAGTACTTCTTGAAGCAAGCGAAGAATGTGCCGAGAATGGGGAAGCGAGAGGATTATGATCAAGTAGGGACTAAAAATTAGTCAAAACGAATTAATTTATTCAAATAATTTAAACTTAAACATGATATTTCTTTACAATTTGATTTTTACGTGTTGTAAATATTCTAAAAAATGAGCTCCCATACAGATAAATTCCAAATTTATCTGCTAGAGATCTTTCCAATTTTTTTCGGAAAAATGTTGTCTTCTGAAGAATCTTTTTGCGTCATTCAAGATCTTTCACATAAACTTCCGAAGATTCTTCCAAGAATCTCTGGAAGATTTTCGAAAGACAGAATTTTTTTTACATTATATAAAATATTATTATTATTATTATTATTATTATTATTATTATTTACATTATTAAATTGTTTTATACCATATTCACAGAAAACATCGTGTTTCTTTGATACAATTGTACTGCAGACAATTCAGCGATCGATTTCATGTGAAAGAAGTTGTGAAATTGTTTTAAGTAGTAAGTTTTTATTGCACGTTGACATGAATTTTTCTCGTTTAGATTGCAGAATCCTTTTACAATAATCGGGAACCGTTCGCCCAACGTCAGAAGCGAATGGTCAGTCATGCAAGTGCCGGAGGTATGTCATAAATCTGGTGGTTTATTAATTTGATTATTGCGTTAATAAAATTATGAAGTATACAACCAATAATTATTTCTCTATTTATCTATTTTTTATTATTACACTCCAGGTATAAAACGAATTTAAACAGGGAGAAAAAGAATGAAATTTAAGGACGAAAATTTTTATCGAATTTAATTACGACTGAAATTTCAAGGAATTTCGTTATTGAAAATTCAGAGTTCCGTAGAAAAATCGAAGGGAACTGTATAATTAGTAAAATTTTGTAAATTTTGTAAAGAGAATTGTAAATTTCAGTTCTATTTTTCAATGAAAATAAATAGAAAACCAGAAGAATCCGGTAACTACATTCTTGAATTTTAGGTTTGGATTCTTCGACATGGGGCCACTTTCCACTAGCCATCGAGGGTCCTCCCGAGCTTTGGCGCGCACTAGCTTCTTACGCCAGTGATCGGTACGGCACATCTTCTGTGAATGAGTAAGTATTCCAGTCGCAAAATCGAATGTTCGTGTTCAAAATGTTTCATTTGATCAAGAGCTTCATCAACTGTGACACTCAACGAGTGATTTAATCAACGTTTTCCTCCCCCGCAGGATTAACAATGATCTTTGGTCGAGGGACAAGCGATCACCCCCACCATCCCCATAACTCCGAGCCCTCAAGTCTCTCACCAAAACAAAACCATGGAATTAACAGGCCTAAGGTGATGGGAAGTCCACAAATTCGCTGTTTCTCATAACAATTTGTTATTAATTCCCGCGAATCTCAGAATAACTGTAATAAAATGTTGAACCACAATGAATAAAAAATTGAAAACTTCGAAATGGGAAAATATTCAGTCGTGTTGACATGCAAACAAGTTTAGCGTCACGAATTACGAATTTACGGAGGACTGAGGGAATTAATTCAACTTCAAATGTAATAATTGAAGAAAGAATGCGCAATTTATTTTTTTCATTTTCAATTTATCTGACACTTGTTGCATTTTCAATCGTGATGTGATGAATTCAATTTAAACAATTAATTTGATGAATTCAATATAATCATTATCCCCCGCGAATCGCAAAATGACTTCGATAAAATATCAAATCGCAGATGAAAAATGAAAACCTCGAAAAATGTGAAAACTCTCATTCGTGTTGACTCCCAAACGAGCTCCTCCTAATTCCCCACAGAATTCGTGATCGGTGATGTGAGTTAACGAGATCAGAATCGATCATGAGATGCTTATACCGCAGCCCGCGCGGATCGAATCGATCCAGCGATGATAGTCGAATTGCTCGATGATCATAAGAGCAAGTGGAAAAAACAAGCGAAGGTGGAGTGCACCGAGGGAGGACAGGCCAATTGACGTTGGTGCGGCTCCCGGGGCTCTGTACTTATCTGGATAGCGGCGCGTGATCGAATTGAAAATTTTACCTTCCTAGGTGTGAAACTCCGAGGCGGTTCGCACGGAAATATTCTTTTTCCTCGTCCAGAAAATAGAGGTGTGAGTGGAAGAGGGTGCACCCTCGGGTCGTCACGGCTCCGGGACCATAAGTGTACGGGGCTTTTTCTAAAGTCATCAATTGCACTTGGAAAAACAGAGACAGAGAGAATATCGCAACGTGGAAGCGGTTATGGTAATGAGGGGGCAGTGCCAAAGGCTCTCGCATATATTGCTGAGAGTAATGGAGGAAATTCAGACACTTTTGTTGGAGGTTTTTGGAAATTTTCAGAGTAGGATTTTTAGAGATGAAAATCGTTTTATTGTTCGTTTTACTCCGTAAAATTATTTATTCATGAGTACAATCGTGTTGCGTGGAATTTTCATGAAGCCCGCCTGACAAACTAAAGAGAATTGAATACCATTCTATGTATTGGAAATGGGTGATTTTGAATAAAAATCAATCCGGTTGAGTTGAAACTTTTCTTTATTTAAAATTACATACGAGGAAGACACATCCACACGCTTTGAGCTCCTCAGATGGACTAACTAAAGAAACAAAGATCCCAGAGGTCTGAAACCCTGGCGACATAGACCCACAAAGGTCTCTATTCATTTACAGATGTTTAGACTGAAAAACCAAATGCCCAAACATTCGTCCACGTTCTTCTCAGAATTTCAGATCAGAAAAATGTTCTCATATTTCACAGTATGAGTTTGAATTATGACAAACAATGGCCTCGCCGTGGAGTTTGCAATTTTTATACCATAAAAATCATCTTCCAAAACTATGACAAACAATCAATTAAAAAAAGGAAAATCGAATCTAAAAACAACTTCAAAAATTTTCTCCTGAAGTTTCACGAATTTTGAGACAGAGGTCATGACCTCATCATTTCGTCATCGTTTTTATTCTGCGGATTCCTCGATTACTGGCGGAGGAGCGGGAGACACTTGGCGATGCCTCACGGAGATGGCGCCACCGGGCCGACAAGGGATAATAATACGGTGCCTGAAAACCGGGGAAACCCCCTGTGTGTGACGACCAGCGCCGGCATTTCCCCGGTTCTTTTCCCTGTCTGCCCCCCTCCCCTCCCCCTAACAATAAATTGTTGTAATTACAATAATTCCGGGACTCGAAGCGATGCTTTGTGTTTACCCCGTCGTCTCACTCCTCCGGCCAGTAATTTCAATAGCATCCTTGCGGTAAAAGCAACAAGCGATCCGCTCTCGTGCCACGCTGACCCAAATAATGCAGTCTATAATCTATTTATTTTTTGATATTCGCCACGAGAGGGGGATTCGCAAGCGATAGCTCTCTTCCGGTTGAACTTCGCCGAACACTTGCGGAAGCAACTTCGGGCGAGGAGGTCCGCTTTTGCGGAGCGTCATGAAAATTCCGGGGGATTGGGAAGAACCGAGAGCGGGGTAAGAGCTACGTCCCACCTGCGGCACGTAGCAATTTATAGAGACCGCACGTAACGTGCATACATGTCGGGGAATTCGAGAAAACGTGGATCGAGAGGAGCGAGGGGTCGATGTTACGCAACGAATTGTTCTGGGGATCAACCGCGTACGGAGTTCCTGCATACGTGCCTGCGGCGGGGAGGACTTCCGGGATATATTTGAAGTTTGGTGGTTGAGGGTGAAGTATGAGGAAGTATGAGGAACAAATCGGAATCTCAAAGGCACGAGAAAAATGAGAAAAATACGTAACGAGTTCGGCAGACAATTCTGTTGGGGTTCTAGTGAACTTCTATTGAAGATACGGTGGGAGAAAAAATTTACTCTGTCGAAAATTGTGTTTCCTGGAATCGTATTCTATTGAAAAAATCAAGAGACCATTTTTTTGTACAAATTTTTATAGTGAGACACAGGGATGGCCATCAATATTAAATTTCATGAATATTAAGGGAATTTGACGAAGTCTTTCTTTATAAAATATAAAATGAGACTTTGTATCATTTGTTCCTCCTGAGGAATCAATTGTTCGTCATTTGTCGTCGTTTGTTCGTCCTGAAAACACTGCAATTATCCTGACTAAAAAAATGAAAAAATGGGATTAACAATTTCCATTGATATTCTATTCTGTTTCGTAAAATTCTAAATTTTCAACGAAATCCCTCGAAATTTAAATGCAACTGTCACAAAAACAGATAAATAATTTCAAGAAGTTTAGTCTCAAAACCGGAAGCATTATCTCGGGAAGGAGAAACCGTGCAGTGCGTACAATTCTCCAACGCTCGTTTAATGACCCTCCAGTTACATTTGTATACCTGGACGCATTAGTATCCGGGAATAGGACATGCAGAAGAGCCATGCCCAAGTAAAGCGCAGAGAGAGAGAGATGGCCGAATGCAACGGTGGATCGCACGCGCAACGAGCGTACATAATCACGTAATGCGGTTATCATGCCAATTGCGTAAATATTTGAGGCAATTTGTGGCATGCAATGGGGTCGGGATGCTACTCCACCCGTGCCCGATGAGTGAAACGCGCGAGCGCCCAATCGTTTGGGCATTACTCGCTTCCATGGAGAATAGAGACCAGGAGGCCGAACTCATACTCATAACTCATAACTCATAACTCTTTATTTATGTAAATCAATACAAGGCATTTCTTTCTTGTCTATTTCGAATAAAGAATGTTGACAACTTGGCTTGCAAAACAGTATGCGTCCTACCACCCGTCCCATATATCCCCTCCAAGCGGCCGATAGTGATGTGACACTAGCGCCCTCGAGGTATTTGAAACCGGGTTTCAGGCGCATTATCGTAACCAATGTTCGGTGAAGTTGGCTGAGTTACCTAGGGTATTAGGCCGAATCTATAATCGACGTACGTCTTCTGTTTACGTCGCGTTGCAATAAATATAGATATATTAATTATCTTAGCGACGTGGTGCAAATGAATGACGCGCGCTTATTGTAGACTCTCCTTTAAGGCCAGTTGCGCAAGCAGCACAAGGAAGAAGAAGAAGAAGTAACCAATGTTCGGCCTCCTGGGCTCTATTCTCCATTCTTGCTTCGGTCAACTTGTTGTTTTGTGTTTGCAAGTGTAGTTAACACCCTCTCTGTTCTTTCGTGGGGGTTAATGGCACCAGTCATTTATAGGCAATTTGGTATTGAATGGGTGGGGAGATTGTGTGGGGCTAATTTTTACTGCTCCATAAATTAAATCGGGTAAGTCCAGTTTTTGATCTTTAATTTTTAATTTGTGAGATTTACACGCGAATTTCGAGCAATTTCTGTCAGTGGAAATTCACAGTTCGATGAAAAAATTAATGAAAAGGGAAAATTTCAGGTCAATTATTCCAGGGATCTTCAATTATAATTTGTTGGAAGTATAGAGTTGATTACTACTTTATCGACAACTGTTTTATCACGGATCCATATTATATCGAACCATGTATCGCCATCTAGCGTCGTAAGACTTTACTCGTGAATTATCTGGTTACTGGAAAACATATGCAAGTAAATCACAGTAATTACTCAAAGCAATCGGCGTAATTAATTGCCATCCTGGTTGTGGGCCCAGAGGGTTTGTCCAAGGATTCTGGCAAGCAAAGTTTTGTGAGTTTAACTATAAAACTCAGTTGTCTCAATAAGTCCGTGTTTTGAGGTTAGCCAAAGCCATCGTGCAAAAGGTGCAATTGCCTCGCCATGGACAACGAAGAAGACACGAGCAAATTGATAAACCTCAAGGGCTCAGAGAACTGGATGTTTTGGAAATCTCAAACCCAGGTAAACCTACTATTCCTCGGAGCCTTGGGACACGTAGACGGGACAAATCCCCGTCCAACGACCCCCGCTCCAGGAGCAGAGCCTGAACTCCTGTCTACTCACCAAGCAGATTTACGAACCTGGGGTAGAAAAGAAGCAAAGGCTCAACGATTCATCGCCAACACCCTCACTCTGTCAACATTGCTTCATGTGTTGCATTGTGACACAGCTCAGGAGATGTGGGACACGCTGAGGGGACTCTTCGAGAATAAAGCAAAGACTAGCATTCCCATACTCCTACAACGGCGGTTCAAGAACGAGCAAGACCCGAGAGAATCTCTAACAATTGACACAGCCAGTGTTGAGGACCTCGCAGACAGACTGGAAGTACTGGGTAAGCCAATTTCAGACAATATGATAATTACAAAGATATAGAATTTGTTGCTGCAAATTACACAGTCTCCAAAACATCTTGGGCACAGAATTTGATCAAAGAACTGT